TAAGGAAAGCTTTACTGTAAACACCATTATGTAGATGAAGCATCAAGGCAGACTTACAGTAAACAATTTTCTCTTTCAATCCTCTGTACTTTTGCTGGAAATGACTTTGGTGCACCCAAGGTATTTTTTGCTTAGTTTTAGTAGAGGTTTTACGGTGCTTGCAACTGCATAAGGTCCAATGAATGCCAGAAGATCAGAGGTGTTACAAGAGAGTAACAAACATAAAAAAGAAGAAGGGGAGATAAGGACCATAGATGTTTCATAGAAAAGAAGAATCAAACCACGCCAAAGCACCCGCCAACCACCAACAGGTGGTGCACCTAAGCAAGCTGAGTTGTTTGGTACGTATTGAACAAACAGCAAGTATGAGAGTTTGTGGGGAGAGAGAGAGAGAGAGAGAGAGAGAGAGAGAGAGAGAGAGAGAGAGAGAGGGAGGGAGGGAGGGAGGGGGAGAGAGAGAGAGAGAAGGAGGGAGGGAGAGAGAGGGGGGGAGAGAAACAGGGGAAAAAGACAGAGAGAGAGAGAGATAGGGAGAGAATGAGAGAGAAAGAGAGAAACAGGAGGAAAAGACAGAGAGAGAGGAGAAAGAGAGAGAGAAGAGAGAGAGAGAGAGAGAGAGAGAGAGAGAGAGAGAGAGAGAGAGAGAGAGAGAGAGAGAAAGAGAGAGAGAGAGAAGGTGAAAAAGAGAAAGACGAAGAGGGTGGCAGAGGAGAGAAGATAAAGAAAAAAAGAAAACTAAAGACACAGAGAGGCAGTACTTACACACCTTTAGAACTACTGCTCTTCACGTTTAGCCAATAATGAAAACGGCGTAAAATAAAAAACAGCGGAATAACAGGGATAAAAAAACCAAAATGATGCAAACTGCCCTCAGGTGATCCTTAACTAGAACAACCTAAATCCCTCCACTTATGCACTCACTGGCTCTCAGGCAGAAAAATGAAAAGAAAAATGATCAAGGGGGAGAAAAAAGATGTTAAGATAACCCAGAGGGTCAAAGCCTGTACAGCAGGAAATACCTGTAAATGTTTGCTACACTCTCATTGGCTACTTCAACCATTTAATTCGTTATAGTAAGAGTTTCACTGTACTTGTGACACAAATAATTTTGAGAAAGGTTCATGTAAACAGAAACACATTGACACGATGGCCACAATGATTAAGTGCATATAAAAAGCAAGGCAGACAGAAACAACAGAGGAAAAGAAAATATAAAATCTCTAGAAATGAAGTACTACATATGGGTAATACACAGAGATACTACATAGGTACCATATTCACACAGATGTTACACACAAGTACAACACACTGATATTACAACCAGATACAAACATACAAGTATTACACAAGGACAGTTTTTTGTTGTGTTTTTTTTTTTTGTATGTGTTTTACGGCGCTCGCAACTACATAAGGTCATACGAGCGCACGGGACACATAATACATTTTCAATTGGTAGAAAATTTTGAATTTTGCCCGGGTGTCGGTCAAAGCCTACTCTTATCTATTTTAGGCCACCAAGGGATCTTTAACCTGCATAACTTGCACATAGGACCTCCAAGATTTTCGCCCTTGTCCGAGAAGGCTATGTGTAGATCTTTCCTACCAGAAGATCAGGGTTGTGGCTGAAAGGCAGTACTTAGAAAGAGCCAACGAGTAGCAATAGAAAAGCAGCACAAAGAGTCAGGAGCCCAGAGAAGGGGGTAAAGGAGGTGAAGGGGTGGGGGCAGAAAATGGAGACGAAAGCAAATGACAGAACATTGCTTGAGAGCATGAAAGGAGGAGAAAGGAGACAATTTTAGAGAAGAAAATTTTTCGGTCGCTTCCGGGACCCAAACCAAAGACCTTTGAAAAAGAAGCGAAAACCTTAACCTCTAGGCCACGAGAGCCCCCAACAAGGACAGTACACACAGGTAGTACACACAATTACTACACACAGGTAGCACACCCAAATATTACACAGGGTTTACATACACACATGTACCTTATTACAAATAAGAATGTCTCGTGAAGTGGAATCTAGGTCAATCACAACACTGTCTTTATGGAAGCACAAAAGTTTTGATATGCAAGAGTCAACAGGTTCTAGACATTTTAAAAGGAAAAAAAAAGAAGAAAAAAAGATAGAGAGGGAAGGGGGGGGGGAATTAAAAACCCAGAAAAGATGCAAGCAGCAAGAGTTCAGTATCAAAATGTTCGCATAACTTGGGGAAAGTTTACATGTTTCTGCAAAATTAAAAAGAAAGAACGAAAATGTGTCGCAACATAGTGGAATCAGCTCTTGACAATTTTTGGGTGAAAGTAGTTATTGCTATCATCTTGAACTTTATCTATCTTGCTTTAGATGCAACAAATACTCAATTTGCTTGAATAGAAGTAAAATATCTGTAACTGAAGAAGGTGGTGGAGGCCCCTTTTTTCAGAGAAAAAAAATTAGCGAGAAAATGGCCTTTGGTGACTTTCAAAGCTTGAGAGTCCTTGGAAGCTTCAATTTATTTTTTAT